GTCTCTCCCTCACCTGTCTCTCCCTCACATGTCTGTGTCTCACCTGTCTGTGTCTCACCTGTCTGTCTCTCACCTGTCTGTCTCTCTCCTGTTTGTCTCTCACCTGTCTGTCTCTCACCTGTCTGTGTCTCACCTGTCTGTCTCTCACCTGTCTGTCTCTCAGAGGCTGCCGAAGCAGATTGAAGAGAGAAATGAGAAGTTGAAGGAGGAGATGATCAGTACGTATTTTACCTGAAGGCATTATTGTTATTGATTTTAATCTGTCCTGCTTGACTCACCTGGTGTCTCACCTGTGCAGGTAAGCTAAAAGACTTAGGGAACATGATTCTGCGGCCATTTGGGCTTTCAACCAACAACTTTCAAGTCAACCAGGACACGACGAGCGGCTCCTACTCCATCAACTTTGTCCAGAACCCAAACCACAGATGATGTCATGATTTGAAGCCAAACCACAGATGATGTCATGGTTTGACCCTGCTTCAGGGGCGCTCAAGCACCCCTCAGTTTGAACTCTGAAATAAAGAAACTATCAGGACCTTTTTCTGAGCAAGTTCTGTTCTCAAACTTTAGACTCACCAATAAATGTGAAAGTAGGAGCAGTCAGAGTGCAGCCCTCCCCCAGTCACTCAGTCACACCTGTCCAGGTGTGGCTGATACTCAGAAATCACCTGTCCAGGTGTGGCTGATACTCAGAAATCACCTGTCCAGGTGTGGCTGATACTCAGAAATCTCCTGCAGCAGCTCCAGCAGGTAAGAAGAGCTTCCTGTGAGGAGCAGGGCTGGGTCTACAGGGGCAGCAGCTGACCCTCTACAGTTGTTTCTTAAATACCTGTAATTACTAAATGTTTGTCAGTCCAGAAGCCTTTTACACTCTTCAAATGAAACATTAGTTAAACTCATGATGTAAGGTCTGTAAAACTCTAACTTTTAACTGTAAACTGAATGAAATGTCTGCTGCAGTGATCAGTGTTAGCTCGTTACAATAAACAGAGGAACAGAGAATGAAAACTTTAGATATTACTGTCTTAGTCTGACTGATGCCTCGATGTGATCAATATGACAGCATTAACCCTAACCTGTCATCAACAGTTATTATTATTATTGTTGTTGTTGTTGTTGTTCTGTCAGCACTGCAGGGTGAAGCTTTTCTACTTTAAACCTGTAAAATCAGTCACCTGCTCTGAACCATGGCAGCTGATTGTTTCTCTGTCGTCAACATAAAAAGTTGTGTGTCAGAGCTGTGGATTTAGAGTTTTATTGTTGTCAGGTTTGCAGCCCAACACAACAATCCTTGTTGTAAAAGTCATGGTTGTCATCACTCCTGTGTGCTCATTTAAATTCTTCTTCTGAATTTGGTTAATTTGTGGAACATTTGTTTTTCTCAGGTAGCTTTAAGTTGTCTTTGTTTCTTAGCTCCTGTGTCATCTTTTGTGTTTACATACACTTAAGTTATTATGGTTATTAACACTGATGAAACATGCAGAGCAGTGTTCATGTTAACACTGATGAAACATGCAGTGTGCATGTTAACACTGATGAAACATGCAGTGTGCATGTTAACACTGATGAAACATGCAGTGTGCATGTTAACACTGATGAAACATGCAGT